TAACTTACACGCCTGAATTTTCTCATCTGTCTGGTGAAGATATTAATCCTCTCATCACTAATTTATTATATGGATACATGAAATAAGGAATGGTATTTGTCGAGTAGGGACTCAACTGTTTTTGTTTGTTTGTTATTGTTGTTTATTACTTTCTAAAGAATTTTTATTGCATTTATTGGGGTGACACTGCTTAATAAAATCATATAGGTTTCAGGTGTACGAGTCTACAATACATCATCTGTATATTGTATTGTGTGTTCACCACCCCAAGTCAATTTGTCAGTAAATCAGGAGCCTCAGAACAACCCATCGATTTTATGGAATTATAGTACATGTTGATTTTTCAGAATGGTACTAGTCCTAGTTCAGAGTGAATAGTCCTTTATCCTTCTCCCCCTGAGTTTCCTCTGATCCTTCTTACATATGTGGTGGCAGGGGTGGAGGTGGAGGTAAGGAGTGTGTGCAGTAATCAAAATCACTCAATATATTCTTAAAAACAAAAACTCTATAGCTCATTCTAGCCTTGCTTATTTAACAATATACAAGGCCATGTTGAAATTTCAGGATTGTTGCTTTAAGGATTACTGTGCTGTCAAACTTAAATTTTATTCAACTTACGGAAAAACTAGAATTTCTTAGCATCATATCCATGTTTGTTGCACCTAGGTGGAGCTTCTGAGTTTTGTACTGCTTCAGATTTTCATAAATAAAGTGTTTTCTCTAAAAAAAAAAATCATATTTACCCCCCTGTGCTCCCTTCTACCTCCCCCCAGTACTGTTACTGCACTTGCTTCCCATCTTTTGATGATTGCTTGTTTCCGCCTCCTGGTGCCTCTGGTCTCACCCTGTGAAGACGGTGCTGAAGAAAGCGGCACACACTCCTTACCTCCACCTCCACCCCTGCCACCACATATGTAAGAAGGATCAGAGAAAACTCAGGGGGAGAAGGATAAAGGACTATTCACTCTGGACTAGGACTAGTACCATTCTGAAAAATCAGCATGTACTGTAATTCCATAAAATCGATGGGTTGTTCTGAGGTCCGCAGGGTCCTGAGGCTCCTGATTTACTGACAAATTGACTCACACAAAGTTTAGAAGGAAATACTGCCTTGAAATCACAGGACACCTTTCTACACAGAGCTCAAGAGTTTCAAAAGGTTTTACTTACATATATTCTTTTTGCAGAACAGGAAGGGGTGCAGGGAGATCAACCTCACTTTATATACACTAAGGAAAATGAACACAGCTAACACCCAAAATAAAACCCAGGAGTAAACATGTCTTTTCCTTGCCAACATCTAATGAATGAGAACTATAGCAATCCATTGCAAAGTAAACGTATGTGACCAATTAGAATATGTAAATTGGACCAGTCATACTAGAAATATTCAAACATATTTTGGTTCCCTTTTCTCTGAACATGTCAGAATTCCCGGGTGGTACCTGAAGCTTGGGCCTGATAAAGCTGAAACCATCACATCACTCATGTGATGTGCGGGCATTCCCTCCACTGTGAACCTTGTGGGGTGTTAGCCCAATACCAGGTCTTTTCTGACTTGCTTCACATGCTGAAGGATTCAACTAAAACACAAATCATAAGCACCTTCTCTCGATCTTTCTGCTCCAAGAATATGAAGATGCTGCCTTCTCTATGATGCCGAGAGAACAGAAATTTATTGAATGAAGGCATAAAGAGTGACACTATTTGTGTCCACGAAGGCCTGAACGCGGGCTTCACACGGTCAGAATTCCTCCTAGATGTGGAGCTTGCTGTTGCTCACTGTGGTGAACTGTTGATGAGAACGGCCACAGCAGTTGCCCCACCCTGTGTGACAGCCTCTTGGCAATGGGACTTGGCTGCTCCTGCCATCAGGGGTGGGATCTATTTTCCCACCCGGGCACCCAGGTTGGGCCACATGACTGACTTTGACCAGTGGGACGGTAGCAAACGTGATGCAAGCAGAAGCCTGATGAGTCTGCAGTCCTGAGCTTGACCTGTCTTGCTTCCAGGAACTCTTCCGTGTCATGTGAACAAGCCTGGACTGGCCTCGGGGAGGGTGAGAAAGTGCACAAGGGAAGCTGCAGTCCTCCCTGCCAGCCCAGGGGCAACCCTGGATGTGGGAGTGAGGTCATCCCAGACCACCTTGCTCCAGCCATGTCAGGCCAAATCAGGAGAACTACCAGCTGACCCACATAATTTTGAATAAAATGGTGGTTGTTTTAAGTTTGGGGTTTTTTAGGGGGGATTGGGGGGGAGATGGCATACAGCAAAAGTGAATCAATAGGCTCAACTCAGTGTCCCACTTGAATTCTGGCTTTACTCACACACTTGAAGGGCTTTGTAGGATTTTAAAAAATATATATTTTTACTGATTTCAGAGAGGAAGGGAGAGGGAGAAGGAGAGAGAGATAGAAACATCAATGATGAGAGAGAATCACTGATAGGCTACCTCCTGCACACCCCTTATTGGGGATCGAGGCTGCAACCCGGACCTGTGCCCTTGACCGGAATCGAACCCAGGAACCTTCAGTATGCAAGCTGACGCTCTATCCACTGAGCCAAACCAGCTAGGGAAAGCTTTGTAGGATTGACCATAAGCAGATGACAAACAGAAGAAAAACTTTTAGGAGCTCCTTAGGAGCTAACATAGTGCTTCTCAACACTTTCAGAATAACCTTGAGGAATCCAATCTAGAGAACACTCACAGAGGGGCCCAGGTTTACTTACATGGATGGTCCTGGGGTACTGCTGTAATAGTATAAAAGTGCAAAACACCTAAATACCAATCATTAGGGGAAAGGATAATAAATTATGGTTTAAAGTAAGACATAAGAAACAGCAAATGGTTAAACGTTTTTCAAAGAAACTATTCTACTATCTTGTAGCTTTCATTTGCCATAAAAGGTATCTCAGCAGACAGAAATCTGAGATTTAATCTGTAGTAACTGCTTACTGCACTAGAAACTGCCACTCACACAGGAAAATTTCCCCAGGGTAACAAGGTATGCAGCCAGTGCTGGTTTTAGGAAGCCGGAGTCAAGGGTGGGATATTTCTAATCAATCCTTTATTTAAAATAAAAAAAAAGGTATAAAGAAAGGTATAAAAAATTCATGCAGGTATTAAAAAATTCAACCTATTTTCTGGGCATTATAGATCTTTAAAAATGTATTGCTCAAGTATTACTCATGATAATAAAAAAGTGAACGCAGCTCAAATGTCCATCAACTGGTATCTTTACACAATGGACTATTACTTGGCCATAAAAAGAAATGAAGCACTGATATCTGCTACAGCCTGGACGAACTGAAAAACATCTGCTACGTAAAAGAAACCAGATACGAAAGACCACGTATTCTATGATTCCAATTATAACAAATGTTCAGAATAGGCAAATGCAGAGACAAAAAGCAGATTAATGGTTGCCAGGAGCTAGAGCACGGGGAATAGGAACTGACTGATAATGGGGACAGGATTTCTTTGTGGGGTGATGAAAATGTTCTGGAATTTATTGCACAACTATATGAACATATGAAAAACTGCTGAATTATGCACTGTGAATTAGTAAATTGTATAGTATATAAACTGTATGTCAACAAAGCTCTTTTTGGAGGGGGGACCTAGATAAACAAATTGATAGGTAGATTAAATAAACAAACAAACGAATAGGTAGGTAGGTAGATAGGTAAATAAATGTATTGCTCAATGTTCCATGATGTGGGACGCAGGTCAGTACTCATTATAATGTAACGTACACATGTGTACTTGAATCCTGGTGAAAATCTTAACTTCACCAGTTTGCCACTCAAAGAATCGTTTTTACTTACTGAAGATTCAGTCTCTAAAATCCATAAACGCCCAGTTTATTTGGAGCTTCCCTAGCATCTCATAGTAGATAATGAAAATAAACCAAAAATAGTCCCAGGATGATACCCCATGGTGTTCTGGCTCATGATAATGAGACGTGAAAATGGGGACTCTTTTGGACAGACATGCAGAAATTGAAGTAACTGTCTGGGTGCTCCCAAAGAGGGTGAGTTAAGTATGTGTGTGGGGGGAGGGGGGGGGTTGGAGAATTTGGAAAAATGTTCTGAGTTTGAGGTGTAATCTGCTGACCCATGGGGAGGCTCACTGACAAGATATCCCAGGGGACCCCCTTCTTGTGTCCCTCCCCAGTCTTCACTGTTTTTTGTTGTTGTTTTAAAAATATTTTTTTAATTGATTTCAGAGAGGAAGGAAGAGGGAGAGAGAAATAGAAACATCAATGATGAGAGAGAATCATGGATTGGCTGCCTCCTGCACAACCTACACTGGAGATTGAGCCCGCAACCCGGGCACAGGCCCTGATCGGGTATCAAACAGCAACCTCCTGGTTCATAGGTCAATGCTCAACCCCTGAGCCACGCCAGCCGGGCTCAGTCTTCACTGTTTTGTGTACGTGTCTTATCTCCCATGTGGACTACAGGCTGCTAGAGGGGGCCATTATGTCAGTTCCACTTTCTCAGAATTTAGCAGAGTTCAATATAACCGGCAGGTGACTAAGATATAAAACAAATGCATAAAATAGGAATAACAGTTATGACATAGAAGAATTCCCCACTTTGCAAAAATGATTCACTGAACAGTTTCTTTAGGCAACGAACTCCCATAATAGACATAAAAGATGAATTTGATTTAGGAAAAGACCTGCTAACCCTTGGCACTTTCCCAGGAATCTATGTTAAGAGTGCACCATGGAAAACTAGACTTGCCGTCAACAAGTTCCTGCCTTCCCTGAGAGCAGATGCTGCGAAGACTCCTTGCCCCCTCTGAACCCAGACAGACAAGATTCCAGTTAAGGACACTTTCTAGCTAGACACTCAAGCCAGAGAAGGGACAGCTGAAGTGAAAGCCTCCTCATGCCCAGGCGTTCAGGCGTTGCCCAGATCCCACGAGCAGAGATTCAGCATCTTATCAGAGGGTTAGCACCCAAGCAGGCACAGACAGGGTGTTCCCCTACCTCGGGAATCAGCCGCCGCCTCTTCACGCTGGAGACAGAGTCTGGCTGGCCCTCGCTGCCCGGCTGCTTGCGCTTGCTGGAGTCCTGGAGGGTGGTGAAGACACTGTCTAGAAGGTGCTTCTCCGAAGACCTGGAATTCACTGAGCAGTCCAGGGCAGCATCCTCAGCCTCCGCCTCCACTTTCACAGTGTTATTTTTTAGAACTGTGGCAGAGGAGAGAGGGATTCAGCGGGAGAAGACCATGGGTGGCTCAGAGATCAGCAGGGTCCCCCCAGCGACAGGCTGTTTGTGGGCCGCCCTTCGACACGACCACTCAGATGATCAAATCTAGTCACAGTAAAACTGCACCTTCCAACCAAGCAATTTTTATCTCACCAGACTAGTGCTACACAATAAAACCCCTTCCAAGAACATTTTGTTCAAAACTGGTTTTAAAGTCTTTTTGGAGGGTGGGGGAGAGAGAGGAGGTAGAAGGAAAGAAATACTACCTAAATGATGCTTTTAGAAAAAGTAACTCTGGAAAGACACATAGATAAGGTGCATGGGTACCAGGGAAGGGAGACGTTTCATTGCTTTTTTATTTTGTATCATTTTATATTTTTGAACCCTGTGAATGTATGACCCAATAATAGTATTAAGTTAAAAATAATTTTAATAAGTATTTGTTTTTACCTTCTTCTACATCTTCACTGAATTCAGCTGAGTTCATCTTCTATTCCACTACATGAAAAGACAAAGACAAAGTCTTGATTTATTGTTTGATTTATTTCTTAATTTTCCCTCCCCAAAGGAAATTCCCTTCCCCTCCCGACTGGCTCTGGATAGTAGAAGGTTAAGCCCACACTGCTCAGCGGCGTCATGGAAAATCGCATCCTCTTATTCTTGTTTGCAGTTGCTCCAAGCATCCAGGCCTTGTGCGCACCTGCTGGGAGCGCTTCTCCAAGACTCTATGTGGGCAGAACGGGTCTCCCAGCTCCGCCTGAGAGCACTTACGGAGCTAGGGGAACGTCACTGAAGAAAAGCAGTCTTTTGTACAGACTCCAGTTTAAATCATCTGTGAGTCCCTGCTTTATAAATTCCAGCCACAAAAATGAAAAGGCTGGCCAAGGAGGAAGCTGTGGGTCCTGCGGACCGAGCTGAGGCCTTAGGACTCCAGGTGGTCCCAGGAGACCTGTGCTGCCCGTCAGCATAGCCACCGGCCAGGTAGCTACTGAGGACTGGCCATGTGGCTGGTCCAAGGGGAGACGCACACTCTGGATTTCAAAGACTTAGTTCAGCTCCAAGAATGTAAAATAGCTCATTAATAATTTTGTATATTGATTACATGTTGAAATGCTAATATTTTTGATTTATTGGGCTAAATTAAATACTTTAATGAAATTAATCCCATCTTTTTTAATGTGGCTACCAGAAAGTGTTAAATTACATATGTGGCTTGCATCACATTTTTATTGGATGGTGCTGGTCTAGCCTTCCCTTCAGAAACAACTTTCCCTTTCAGAGAAAGAGGTGCTGTGGATTTTTATAGCTCTCGAGTTCCACATAATCTGTCCAAACCCTTCTTTTTAGTGACGAGGGAATGGGGCGGGCAGGATGGAAGGTGCCCTGCATGGGTTTCAGGGCCTGGTGCAGAGCTGGCCTGACTCCCACCGCCCCAGCTGGAATGGGAGGGACACCATGGTTAAAAGCACTAGTACGTCTCTGAGACGCCCCAATTCCCATACCAGCACGCCCGTAACAACAACAGGAATATGTGAGGTAGTGCAAAAGAACACACGTGACAGCCTTTACTATGACATTGGGGAGCTGTGGCTCCCACAACTGACGGACGGCAAATATCAGTCTCACTCTGGTGAAGGATCAGGAGAACAGGACTAAGGAGCATTGCTCAAGAAATTTCTATAAGGAAGCGGGATGCCACCTACAAAGTCCAGTAAACCATGCCGAGGAGCTGGGGAAGGGGGTGTGGTCCCGGTTTACACCAGTTTACACCAGTGAGTGGAGTGCTGGGGGCTGGGACAAGACAGAAGGAGCAGCTAGGTGACCTGGGCACAGCATAACCTCCAAATTCACTAGTAACAGCCCCGCAGGCACAGTGCTTATGATGGGACGCACTCCTCTGGGCGCGCCACACAGCCTTATGACAGGCACATCCTTCAATCCCTGCCCTGCTCATTTTCAGAGGAATGAGTAAGAACATTTAAGGTTTATTTGAAACTGAAATTAACACTACAATAATTCCTACTTACCAAAAACTATCATCTCCCATCGGGAAAACATTACACAAAGGTGATACTGAGGGAAAATAAACTGTAAGTAAACTTCGACAGACCAAGAATGATTTTGCCAGCGGTGATTTCTAGCAAGTGCACCTCCTCGGTATCCCAGGCCCATAAGCCCCGTGCTTGATGACATCACCTGCTCTGGGCGTCTCTGAGGGAGGCACCGGCAGGCAGGCAGGAATTTCCCATTTGCAGGTCCAGCCCACCACCACTGCATTTCGGGCAGGAGGGTGACCAATGGTAGGCAGAAATGCAGCCTAGTCAGGGGGCCCTCAAGGGGACGCACTTCAGGCTTCACCCGAAGGCCCGAGTGTGGCAACTGCCCTTGGAAACCTGCCACAGGGTCATATAGCCTAGGGCAGAGGTGAGAGCAGCAGAGCAAATGGGAAAATGAGAAAATGCTGGTGGAAGGGGTACACTATACAAAACAAGCACATTCTGGAGAGAAAAGGAGGGAGAGGGAAGATGATTTATTTGGGGTGGGGGTTGGGGGGGTCAAAGTGGAAGAAAACCACAAAGACTCTGGCTAAGTAGAAAGCTTTAAGAGGAGGAGTAAATCCTTGAAAAGAAACAGGAGCCAATGAAGAAAACACATCGACAGAACCACAAGTGCTGAGCAAGGACGGAATCACCGTCCAGTATTACATCCGCCCACCTGTATTTCTCACAGGAGCTCAAGGAGAGCATGGGGCCTGGAGTCATGGGCTGGGTGTGGCCCCTGCCAGGTTGTGGCTCAGTGAGCAGGAAGGGTATTTTCTGAACCACCACCACGTGACACAACTGCAGGCAACTCAGCACCCGAACTCTGAGCTCCTAGGATTATCCTGTCAGAAAATCACAAAGGAGGAGCACACACGTGAGCCACCTGTGTCTGAGGAAAAGCGGAGGGGAGCTAGAAGGCTCACCGTGGGGAGGCGGATGGGACAGGAAGGGGCGGCTGGCTTTATGAGCATTCAAGATGCCCAGATGCATCTGCCTTGGGAAACATGTCTGTGTTCATTTATAGACCAGTGACAGATGCTGCATTAGCCCAGAACCAACCCGGAACATGGAGTGGCAGGCCCTTCCCTCCCGGCCAGCAAAGCAGCCGTGCTCTTCGGGAAGCTGGGGAATTCCCACAGCTACGTGGTGCTGTGTGGGAGGGAGCGAGCGAAGGTCCTCGTTCACATCTGTAGCCCCGAACTGCGTCCAGACACCGCTGGCCACTGTGTGTCTCCATCTCACCCTGAGCTATTTGAATCCCAATTCTACCAATAAGGAAACTGAGGGTGTATACCTCAAATATACACAATTTCTATTTGTCATTGAAGCTGGGAAAAAATGTTTTTAAATATATGTATATATTTTTTAAGAGAAAGAAGGAGAGAAACATCGATGAGAAAGATCGATTGGCTGCCTCCTTCATGCCCCCTACTGGGGATTGAGCTGGAAACCCAGGCATGTGCCCTGATCAGAATCAAACCAGTGACCTCACAGTGCACGGACCATGATCAACCAACTAAGCCACACAGCCAGGACTGGGAAAATATTTTTTAACATTGTGATTAAGGAAATAAAATACTTGAATACTGGAAAGGGGGGGAGGGGGAACGGAGGGTAGGTAACTTGCCAGTGTCACACAACTGTCAAGTGGCAGAACCAGCGCTGAAGCCCAGTCTGTGTCTCTCTCCCGTCAGCCGCCAGGAGAGGAACTGCAAAGAGAATCCTCAATCTTCTTTTGAGGTTCTTCTGCTGAACATGGGGCCAATTTTCAGCCTTAGATTTCTCAGTCCAACAGCAGCTGGAACATCCAAACCTTTCATCTCCAGGTAACCACCTGGAAAACCTGTGTGCCCTGTGCTTATGAACAGACTCCAGCCCAAGCACAGAAGTTTCTCCAAGCGGAGTGTGTGGGTCACTCCAGGCATCCTGGGCTGAGGCAGTGACAGCACAGCAACATCAGGGCCGGAGAGAGGGGACGGATGTAGTGTTTGCTACCTCCACTTCCTGGTCATCTGCAACATGAAGGTCACACAGGGCTGCTCATCCTGGGTGGATACGGAGTATCCGGATGCCAAGCATGCCACAGACATTCCTTCCGTTACTTAACTACAGGTTATGGAGGAGCCACCAACCACCGCAGCTCCCGCCCACCCAGGCTGCTAAGATTGCAATCCCCTTTGCCTGCTGGACTTTGCAGAATTTCTTATGCTAACATTCTCTCCTTTTCAAAATCTTATTTCTCTCACCACAATCTCAAGTTGTGAGACAACCTATGCATCTACAGGTTCCTGAAAATCAGCTTTCTGCCCAAGGGGTGGCTGTTCTACATCCCTCAAGAACCTCTGACCAAGCCCAAGGGAAGATGATTCAACTGAATGAAGGGAACATGTGCCAACAAGACCTGTGCAGCTAGCTGCTGCTTCTAGTTAAACCAGCACAGGTTCTAAGACATCAATGCGCTATCGAGGGTAACTCTCAAACAGAGCTAATCTCCAGTGGTTAATCTAATAAGTGAAATATTCGCGAGCGCGCTCTCTCTCTCTCTCTCTCTCTCTCACACACACACACACACACACACACATACACACCCCTTAGGAAGCCTGAGGCAAAGTGACCTGACCATCATTGTTACAGAAAGGTCTGCAATGTTGCAGAGCATGCTGGAGTATATATAATTTATTAAAATGCTTCCTAGTCTCTATCCTTCTGCGTAGAGTCAGATGGACAATACTCAGTTTTCCACGCATGGGTATAATTCTGTTTGTGGCTGCGGGAAGATCAAAATGTTCTCAGAAAAGCCTTTAGTTTACAAAAAGCACAGAAGAGACGGCAAAAAGGTAATCCCAAACGTTCGAGAGTAAGATGCTTTAGCCACTCAAATCTCAAATTACAAAGGATAAGTTGCTTAAAGTGGCTGCATAAATGCACCAACTGGCGGAGCTGCCCCTGTGCCTCACGCTGAATTGAGGCTGAATCTCAATCCCAAATATCAGCTTGGGCTGGAAAGACGCTGAGGAGGGAAGGGGGTCTGTGAAGCAAGACAAGAAGACAGATGTGAGAACCATCCACTGGTGCTCAGAACCAATTCTAAGAGATGCCACAGAGATGGGAAAACTGGAAAGATTTACAATTATACAATTATAGGTTAATTTATATTTTTAGAGTTAAGAAAGGAAGACCCTTAAAATCTTTCTCTTTTTTTTTGGACTAGGTTTTACATGCACGTGAAACAAAATTCAAAAGCTATAAAAGAATATTCGGTTAAAAGGTCCAGTCCTCCAGTCACTGGTTACTCTCTCGGAAGCAACCATGCTATTTTCCTTGTGAGTCCTACCAGGGACGTTCCGTCAGTGGCTCTCAGTGTGCTTTGTACACAGTGACTCCCTGCAGCTGGCCTACACAGGCTTGTCCAGCTCCTCTCATCCCCAACTCCACCGCGAGTGGGGTCAAGCTGGTAGCTTGAA